AATATTTTTTGATATACAGGTTGTTGCATTGATTTTAAAATCGTTTACTACACAGACTTATAAGATGCTAAAATTACGAATAATGGTGATAGAACTGGTTTATTGTATACAGAGTGTTTTGAAATATGTCTTAAATATGGCTAAATTTAAGTTCGATTCATTTTTTCAAATGCAACACCTTGTATATTATTTTAGCATAACATTCCTTATAAATTTGTCTATTCAACGATACTAACATGTTAGGCGAGATTGACTGTAGCTTGGCCATTGCTCTGTAGTTTAGATTGCTTGCTCGTTGCTTGTCTGCTTGTACGTATCTCTTTCTGCATGGACAATGGAGAAATGCAATCATCAAGTGTCTGCCTCCCAGTGGCACCGCTGGATACGTTAATACTGCTGCTCTGGAAAAACTAATAACTAACTGAATGACACTCCAACAAAAACCCAAGCTAAGGTGTAAGGCAACGTGCTAAAGGCTGAATGGCCGCTGGGAAAGCGGTTGCGAAAGTTCCTCTGGGGGCACTTGGCGAAACTCACCTGTATCTAGCCTTACCCGGTCATGCGGGGCTTTGATCGGGTGGATATTTATTTCCCTAGCTACTCGTGGGACCAATATGGACCAATCAAACCCAAAAACAACCCCAGACAGGGAACTCCCAGCAGGAGAAAACCTTCCACACCAACAAACAACAGAGGTAATTGAAACCGAAGCGATTCCAGAAGAATTAACTTCGTCTCCATCAACCTTTGCACAACGCCCGAAAGCGGAACAATTTTCGGAAGCAATTGGCATTTTCACAAACCCCAAGGAAGAAAATAGCCTGAAACAAGTTGTCTCAAAACTTAACAGGATTCACCTGGAGCCGCCTGAGTGACTTTCGGGCGCCCAAAAGAGGAAATTGGTAATTCAGAAGAATAAGGCTAAAGGAAAACCAATCAGACCCAGAGATGAGAGAAGGACGGAGAAGAAAGGAGCCAACCGAACTCCAAATAAAACTCTCCAGTTCAAACGGGACCGCCTTTAAAGTGACAGTCCGTCTTCAACGGAAGCCACGGTAAGAAGTCACCCCAAGAAACCTAAAACTGGGTCTGACAGAGCAAGGGTAACCACATCTGCAGCGCAAGTGGTAAGAGGTGGCTTGTCCTATCAAGAGACACTAACGACCATGAAAATGGCGGTAGTGCCTAAAGAATTTCCCAAGGAAAAATTGACTGAGGAGCAAACGAATCAGACTCAGGAAAAACTGATAAAAGAAATTTTGAAGAGTGTGGAGGGATCAGGGTCACAGTTTAAGAAGGAATATTTTCATAACGGAGCTCTTTTCTTGATCTGTGCCAATGACACCGCTAAAACCTGGCTCTCCAAAATAATCCCCCAGCCTACAACTATGGCAGGGAAGACAAATTATGGTGGGACCCTCTAGCGAGATCGTTCGAACCAACAAAGTTGTAGCCTGGATACCCACACCCATGCAAAACACAAAACCAAGGGTTCCAACCGGAGCAGTGGCAAGACATTCACAGGCAAGTGCAAAACAACGTTCAAACATTGTACTGCTGATTGACGACGACTCTATGAATGTTTCAGAAAACCTGCAATTAAAACCCTATCTGGGCCTAACTCAGGCAATCTTCAGAGGAAGGAATAACCTTTAGATGCTCAGAATGGTGCAAGCTAATCTGAGACACTGCAAGGCTGTCTCCGCAATTCTTGCACGTACTATTATTAGGGAGGACTTAAAACGTTTTTTTGACAAGCAGTAGCAGTATATTATAAATATTTATAAATATAAAAAAAAAGTTACAAAATATTATTTACATATACAAATATTTAAGTTTTGAATTTTTTTCTGTAAGCGCAACTAATGTTCATCCTAATTTCTAATTTGTTTATTTTAATCACTGTTTATTTTGTACAACATTTTCAATTAAGTAAGTTTATTATTTTACTAGTTGTATATGTATATATTGTTAATCACATTTTTAATGTTATTTTAAATATTTTAATTTGGTTAATTTAATTTTATTTAATACTATAAAAGAGGAAAATATTGCCCGCGCACAGGTTTACCTTTGCGGGTTTCTTTCTTTCTTTTGTTTATTCTAATAAGTTAAATGATGTATTCTTTTATTGTAATTATTTATCTGAATAAACTTTATTTTTATTATAGACGTAGCCTTAAGACAAGAACCCTGGATCTACAAAGGGTATGTGATGGGGCTCAGACAAACAAAAGGTAAATTAATATACAATACCCAATGTGGAAACACTAGGGCTTGTATCTGCTGGTGGATATGACATGTTACGCGGACGGCAAGTACAGGCACAAATGTTTAGTGAAACCATGAAGGTGAATATCAACAGGGGATGCCCACAGAGTGGAGTCCTTTCTTCTCTACTGTGGAACCTAGTGGCAGATGAACTGCTGAGAACATTGAACAATTAAGGACTCTTCGCCCAAGGATATACCGATGAAATAGTCATCCTTATCCGAGGGAAACATCAAACCACAGTCTTTGAACTCATGCAAAGAGCTCTTAGGCTGACAGAAATGTAATGCGTTAGGGAAAACCTTTTGGTAAACCCTGACAAGGCACAACTCATAATCTTTACTCAAAAAACAAGGTTGGAGGTTCTTAAAACTCCGACTCTGTTTGGAGGAAGGCAAAACAAACCAAATAAAATATCTAGGAATAATCCTAGATAGCAAACTTACTTGTAACAAATGTAAAATGTCTCTCATTGTAGGAAGATGGGCATTTGGAAAAACATGAAGATTAAAACCAAAAATGGTCCACTGGCTATATTTGGCAATAACAAGACCCATGATAACTTATGGAGCAGTTGTTTGGTGGCCCAAAGTAAACCAGAAAATAGCCCTCAATACCATCTCAGGAGTTCAGGGGTTGCCATGCCTTTGTATCACAGGAGCACTAAGAAGTACACCGACAGCCTCTATGGCAATCATTTTAAACCTTCCATCCCTTAAACTAGTCATAAAGAGGGAGGCCAGAATGAGTGCATACAGACTGGAAATCTTCAACAACTGGAACCCACTGGGACATATAAAACATACTAGAATAAAGTAAATGATTCTATATTAAACATGGGATCAGATCACATGACACCCCCCTAACCTTCAACAGACTCTTCCAGGTCAACTGCAACTGGAACGAGGTAAATAAGGAGATAAATACATACTTGCTTAGCGGTCTCGTATATTATACGGATGGATCTAAAACTAACAAGGGAACAGACTCTGACGTAAATGGAGGTAAACCCATATGCGTCATCATCGTCTTACTGGGAAAACATACCACTGTATTTCAGGCTAAAATACATGCAATTGAATTGTCTGTTCGTGAGAATTTAAGAAGGAAATACAAAAAACAAACAATCCTAATTCTCTAAGGTAGCCAAGGCTCTTGATTTAAACAGAATCAAGTCAAAGCTTGTCTGGAACTGCCTTGGAATACTAAATGATCAGGGAACCCACAAAAAGGTAAAACTAGCGTCGGTACTAGGTATCCAAGAAAATGAAAAGGCTGATGAATTTGCCAAAGAGGGATCAGATCTACCATTTACAGGACCTGAACTTTTATTTGGGATAAGCAAAACCTCTGCTCGACAGGCAGTGAACAGGTGAATAATCACAAAACACCAAGTTCACTGGCAACAGATAAGAGGGCAGAGAATCAGTAAGCTCATGCTAAGGGGATCAAACCCACGCATGGCTACTGAGGCATGGCTACTGAGGCATGGCCTCAGATATCCACCATTGTGGGATTACTAAAGGGGCACTGCTTGCTGAAACACCTTCATGTAATGAGATTACACAATGATCCCTCTACGTGTAGACTCTGCATGGAAGAGGAAGAATCCTCATACCATGTGATTTTCGAATGCGAAGCTCTTACTAGGCGACGTTTCATCCTTTTCGGCCTAGAACCAGAAATAACGCCCTAGGAATACTTGGTAGGGAATTTCTAAAACTAACCAAAGACACAGGACTATTTCAAAAATATTACCTGAATACGGGGAAAGGAAGGGAATACAACAGACCCAAGAGGCCGCAGTGTTCTGGGCCAAACCTTACCCTACCTGCTTATAACCGACAAAGGTAAAGATAAGGATAAAAAACATGTTAGCCAATAACACATATACAGGGTGTCCCATCAGTGTGTAATTGATAGCTGTTTTATTATTGGAAGAAATTGTTAATATAAAAGTTGTATAATAATTATTAAATTATTCTCAAATGTGCAAGGTGGTCCATACATGAGGTGCTGACTTTAAACTATACTTTTTTAAAGCAAATTACCCTGCAGGTAGTTATACATATTTGATTGTTTTCACATCGCCAAACAATTTTAATTCATTTCAATCATTAGCTATGTTGTATGTAGGATGTGTCAAAACAAGAGGTTACCTTTTTTTAAATTTTTTTAAATGGAAGACCCGGTATTTAGTAATTGGTGGTATAACATACAGGGTATTTCATTAAAAAATTGAGAAAATCTCAAGCTCGCATTTTGACACACCCTATATACAACATAGCAAATGAATGAAGTCTATTAAAATTGTTTTTAACCATATAACTTTTATTTGAAACTTGTTTGGGTGTCTATAATACAAATTGAAATATTGAACAATTACGCTCATTTATTTCATAGAAGATAAACACATTTAAAAGGTTGGATTACTTTCTTAGATTTTTTTAATACACCCTTGTATAAGTTCCTAAAAAATATTTCTACATTCTTTACAAGGTCCTTGCTCTGGATTATGCAATTGAAAATATTAAATTAGTAAAAAAGAAAATAGCTCTGGAAAATAGATACGTTATCCTTCTAAAGTAACAATTTAATTTAAATAGAAATAAAATAAAATGTGTACGACTGGAAATGAAGAGGGAAAAAAACAATGAACAGAGACAGTCACTATGATGGTGCTAGGAATAAATAGAGAATTAAAGAAAATGCGTTTTTCGGGCTATTACCTGTCGGAAATCCAGTCGGTTGTAAAAATCCCATTAGCGCCGAGAACGCTCCGAATACCAAGTACTCCTCATCCAGTCTTAATTCCTGAACGCGCATATCATCTCCTCTGGGGATTTCAAGAAAGGGAACGACGGCAGATAACGTTGTCGTCATATTTTCGTATCTGGATGCCGATGGCTGTTTTTTTTTCTGCATCTCCAACGGCAAATCTGACGGCTCTTCTTGCTCCCCGATATCTGTTGCATCGCGTTCGAATGCAAATTCCGACAGAATGGGAATTCTGCAAAATGCACCAAGTTAGAATGTTCACTTCGATAGAAGTGTCAATAACGTCGTATTTTATTTACGCTTTGATTTTCTGTACAGGTTGTCTCTTTTGAGTCGTATTACAAAGTTATTTGATAAAAAAATATATTGCAGAGGTTTTTAAACGAACAGAGGGGTAAACCTATACATTGATAAAAGGACATGGTTTGAATTATAGGCGGGACTTGTTCCTTTGTTTGTAGTTCAACCACACTAATTAAAACCAGATTTACACCTATAAAAATCTGATGTGTCCAACACATGACTTTCCTATCTAGTTATTATAGGCTTTTTCCGGTTATTTTGTACAACCTATTGCAGCACCTCTATATATGTTCAGAGGAGGATAAACTAAATATATACATTTTTCACATACAATCTACCTCGAAACATTTTTCCATAGATATTCATTGAAAACGAAAATACTGAAGAATTTTAATTTAGCACTTTTCCTACAATTTTACCATTACGATCCATTTTAGAAAAATCATGTATAAACAAAAATTATAGAGATCGATATCGCAAACAACTTTTATTTCAACAATTTTCATAAAAATCAGAATTTTGCACATTTTGTCAAATTATTCGAATACGGACCATTTCAGGAAATTTTTACATAGAACAAAAATTATAGATAATATTATTAGAAGTAACTTTTATTTGAACAATTTTTTTCTCCAAACATAAATAACAGATATATTCCATAAAATACAAAAACGGCCTACCATAAAGTACCCCCCCCAGATGTTCCGACTTTGTCCAAAATCTAATTATTGCACGTCAGGCCGAAATAAACCATAAGTTTAAAATTTGATGTTTTTTTCTTTATCCGTTTTTGATTTTTCTTCAAATTTCGAAATTCACACATTTTCTCAAATATCTCGAATACGGTCCATTTTAGAGAAATTATGTATAAAATAAAAATTATAGGAATTATATTAAAAACAACTTTTGTTTAAACAATTTTTATAAAAAAATATTTTTTTTATATTTTGTCAAATTTATCGAATACGGATTATTTTAGGAAAATTTTGTATAAAACAAAAATTATAGATACTATTATAAGAAGTAACTTTTATTTGAAAAATGTTCTTCCCCAAACGTAAATAACAGATATATTCCATAAAATATAAAAATGATCACCCATAAAGTACCCCCCCAGATTTTCCGACTCTACCCAAAATATAATCAGCTCATTGGACGCTGGAGCAAAGCTTAAGTTTAAAATGTGGTGTTTTTCTGTGTATCGGTTCATGAGTTATGCGACACACAGACACACACACACACAGACACAGACACAGACATCATCGCGAAACTAGTCAAAACGGATTCAGGGGACCTCAAAACGTAAAAATCCGTCGAAAACTCGAGGTCGAAAAAAATCATGATTCCTATACTTTCCTTATATCTGTATACAGATAGGAAAGTAAAAGTGTATTTTTTTTTAAATAATGCTAAATAATTCAATAATTTTAATGAGCCAACCCTTTAAATTTTACTTTACACAACGTGTAATCAAATACGGGATAATCGTTAATAAATGATAAGTTGAAGCCAAATTTAATTATGAGATGTTGTAAATCTGGATTTGATAATTAATTTTTTTTAAAGAACGTCTTGAGAAAAATATTTATTTTTGATAATATTACACACAACGACTAACAACTCATGTATTTTTTACTCTCACATGCTAGAGATGTGCAGTACATTTTCCTGGACAGTATGAAATAAATTAATTCTAACATATCCTAAGACGTCCTGTAAATCACGTCGGGACTCTCCATAGAAGTGTGAATAATTTCCATTCAAGCTTTCAATGTAAACAGTGGAAGTAACTTCAATAGATACTAACCGCTCGAATTCCTGTAAAATATTTTTGCAGGATTTAGGGAGGTCTGCAAAGTTCTTCTTAATTTTTTTTATTATTTTTCTTTTTCAAAGGGAAATATTTATACCAGACGCGATTAGAGTGCCTCGTATCTCGTTGCATCTTTCTAGGAATATTTATTAAGTTTTGTAAAGAAAATATGAAGAGAGAAACTTAAAACAGTTAAAACATGATAAACGGTTTTGAATTTTTAATTAATTGAGTACAGTATGGTGTAAATGTTTATTTATTTAAAACACTTTATTTACAATTTATTTATAACGTACTAATTAATTTATATAATACTTAGGCACTAACCCACAATTATAATTTATTTATTATAAGTAGTTGTCGTTACTGTCCAACACTAAAATTGAATCTTCCCGTCCGTCGACAAACTCGCGCTATTTATATAAAGCTAGCTATGTACCAGAAGACTCAAGGCGACCCAGAACGATCGAAAAATGCCTTTCTGTAACTCCCGCAAAGGGATCACTCAGGTAGCTTCTCGAAGCGGTGCGCGAACAAGAGGTAAACAAGACACAGAGACTAAAACTGAATGTTTGTATCTGCAATTGGACTCACTTTTACAATTTCCATTCGCATGGAAATAACAAGGGACGGTTTTTGCGAATGGCTGCAGACTAGTATTTGGACTTAGTAATGTTTCAAAGGCAGTTTGGCAATCTTCGTCTCAGCAGAATTCTCTCGCTTTTTCTATGAGTCGTGTCAATAGCTGAACAATATATGCGAACTTTCTAATAACCCTTAGATAGCACGTACGTACATAGCCAAAGAAAACTTCTTATTTGATGTTTATCAGTTGGTTCTGGCCACTCATTGATAAAAGCAACTTTTTTATTATCTACACCCACGCCATCCTTGCTGACTATATGTCCCAGGTAATTAACTTCATTTTGAAATAGTTCTAGGAATTTAACATTAGTTGGGCAGCTTGAAATTTTTTAAAAACATCTTTCAAGTTATTTAGATGTCTTCCCCAAGACATAGTCCAAATGGCATATTATTGAATTGCCACAATCCAGATCCGGTGGTAAAAGCTGTCTTTTCTTTATCTACTGGGTCCATTTCCACCTGCCAGTATCTAGACTTTAAGTCTAAGGTAGAGAATAGTTTACTTCCAACCAATGTGTCCAAGGTATCGTCGATTCGGGGCAGAGGGTAACTGTCTTTCTTTGTAACATTGTTCAGCTGACGGTAATCCACACAGAACCTCGTAGTTCCATCCTTTTTCTGGACCAGGACTACCAAAGAGACCTATGGGCTGGTAGAAAGTTCTACCACCCTTTCTTCCTTTATTTCCTAAACAATCCTTTCAGCTTCTTTCCTCTTGGCCTTTGGTAATCTTGGAACTGATTGACGAATCGGCCTAGCGTCACCAGTATCAATTTTGTGTTTTACAACAGAAGTTCTTCCTGGTTTTTCTCCTTTTGTTACATAAGTGTCACGATATCGTCGAAGAAATTATTTTATTTTCTTTTTTCTAATTGATTTAGCAGCAACTGCAATTATTTTCTCGAATTTATTGTTGGAGTTATCAGACGTTGTTGTCTGACACATTATGGAAGTTACTGGTACATAATATCCGATCATGGTCTTTCTTGATAGTAACTGGGTGATCAGTAACTTTTATAAGACGGACTGGAATCTCTTAAGCAATTGCGACTAACCCCTTTCCGATTAAATTACCTCGTCCAACCTCTTTATCGTGGTTCCAAGGTTCCATCATTACAGGTGTCCCTTTTTCCATAGTTTCATGAAGCCGTGCTACTAAAATGGTTTCACTTCTGCCAGGTACCACTGTATCCTCCTTTACAGCAACTGGCATGATATTGTCCCCATATGGATGTAGGAATACCTCTTCGGCACCAACTTTTATCACTCTGTTTTTAAAGTCTAACTGGAAATCATGTAAGTTCATTACATCCATTCCAAGTATAATAACATCTTCTTCGATATCACCAACAATAACAGTATAAGTGAATTTTTCTTTACCAATTTCCAATTGAACCTGGATTTCCCCATGGATGTGACAGTCCTCAGTCGCAATCTTGTTAAAAGATGTCTCTTACGGATATTTATGGTTGTTGATCGTATAATGGTCCTAGTTGTTCCAGCATCCATCAACAGTGTATACTTCTTACCATTTACTTCGCTGTCTACGTATACACTATCATCGCGACATTTCAAAGAGGCTATCAGTATGAGAGGGTCTTTGAAACAGTTTCGGGTCGAAGCTGCCGACCTGATCTAGTTTTCCTGTGGCGGGTTGTCCCAATTCACCGTAATACCAGCACCTGATGGTCTTCGTCTTTATCTTTTTGTCAGCAAAGGTCTTCAATATGTTAACTAGTTGGTCGCGTTTATCTTCCACGTTTTCTTCTTTTACAGTCCTCGCTTTACTCTATCCTCCAGTAGCCTGCGTAGCTTCCTTATACTCTAGAGCAGCGGACAAGACATCGACTAATGTTCTGTGACGGGCTAAGCGGAGTATTTTAACAAATATTTAGACTGCCAAATATTCCATCATGATTTCTGGATCGCACCAACCTGGCAATATCTATTTTATATTCTTGAAGAGTCTCGTCTCGTTTCTGTTTTCGATTCTTTAACTGTAACTGGCATGAATGCTTCAAGTGTTCGTAGCCATATCGCATGTTTAGTCTCTTTTTGAGTTGTCTCCTCTTAGGGCTATGGTCAAATTTACTACTTTTTCTATTTCAGACAATACGTGCGCTCTCGCAGCTCTTTGGAGCTGCTTAAGGTAGTTGGTCCATGACATTTCCCGTAGAAAGTTGGGGATTTAACACAAGCAGAATTTAAAGCTATTTCCAATTTCAACTTTAATTCACCGTCCTTGACCGGTTCTGTATGTTTCAATTCTTCTATCTTCTTTTCCATTTATTTTATTTTCTCTTCAACTGATGATATCTTATTTTCCATAGAACAAATTTCAGAAGACACGTTTTCTTCTAGGGCAGAAATATTATTTTTTTTGGAAGAAATATCAGCAGTAATTTCAGTTTTTATAGAAGATATTTTCCTGTCGAAAAAAATTTCATCTTTTAAAGAGGAGATATCAGAAGAAACTTTAGTTTCTGTAGAAGAAATTTCGTTTTTCACGGAAGACATATCAGACGAAACTTTACTTTCTAAGGAGGTAATGTCAGGAGAAAGTTTGGTTCCTAAGGAGGATATATCATTTTTTATAGAGAAAATATCAGAATAAATATCGTTTTTTATAGTTGACATTCCACTTTCTAACGACAAAATTAGAATAGAATAGAATAGAACAGAAGACGCATTATCCGAAAATAGATACGTTTCCGGATCCAAACTGTAGTGTATCCAACTGAAATAAAGAGAGACAACTAATCTCTATTTCTCTTACAAGAGTATCATATATAAAATGGCGGCGTGATCGACTATGAAGTGACTAGGACACTACGAGTGACGACTGAAAGATTCGTTAACTATTGGCTAGTAACGTGTTATTGAGGGAGTATACACAAAAAACACATTTAATTACTTGATGAATTAGGAAAATATATGAAATAATATTCAATACATTATATAAAAAAAAATATCTAATACTGCAAGGCAAAAATAAAATAAATATTTTAAGAACAATAACTTATCAAATAACAAACATTGAGCATCACTGGGTTCAAACACACTCGATGCAAAACTGAAGAAGGGTTAATAAGTAAAAGGTAATGGGGAAGCTATACAGCTTTACTACCCACCTATGAGTTGAATAATCTGGCGACAAAATAAGGTAAGTTACCGAGACACCTATCCCAACCACGGGCGAAAATGTTATTATCAATCAACAAGGCATTTTATACTTTTAACTTAGATCTGCCAATGCTGTTATTATCGAAATAAAACACATAATTATAATAGGAATACAATATTACTTTTCCCTTGCAGAACTTTAAAAATGACTGGAAAATTATTTCAAGTTCAAATATTAATTATAGCAAGTTTTCCTTAGTAAAACTACAAAATATCAATAAACTTCAAAAATATTTAAATTAAAATATTAAAAGTATGCTATTTTTTACTGATTTAAATAGTAAAATAAGTCATAAAATCAAATAAACTCGTTATTGGAATGCAAGCTTTTTTTATGACAAATCATTACAAATACAAAAAATACCGGCAAGAAATAACATGAAATTACTTATAACAGTGAAATTCAAATCTGAAATAGTGAACCATTGACAAGTTAAATAATATAAAAGTAATTGAAACATAATAATTGATTTAAAAAGGCACTTACATTTTATTACAAATAAAACCTTTTTTAAAAATCACCTGTATTTAATCACCGGTATTCTGACTCCTCGATGTTCGATCACTCTCTGTTTCTCCCAGAGCATGAACGATTTTTGTTCGTTGGAATTTATCGCGGTCAAAAACGATAGAATAGGTGGACGCTTTATATTGTCATTCAAGATGGACGAAATTAAATACGATTCCTTTCAAAACCTTCACTTATTATTGCTTCTTTAAGTCACTCTTCCAGCTGTACTTTCTTCCCTGTCGTCTCCAACTCATTCCTTGTCGTCTCCAACTCACGATCTTATAATTCACGACGTAACTCCGTCACTTTTAGATCACTTAGTTTTTTAATGTATTGTTTGTTTAATTTAGTTTATTTATTTAAAACACTTCATTTACAATTTATTTACACGTACTAATTAATTTTTGTAATACTTAGGCACTAATTCACAAATCTAATTTATTTATTACAATTTGTCTTTAGTGTCCAACACTTAAATTGAATCTTCCCGTCCGTCCACAAACTCGCGCTATTTATATAAAGCCAGCTCTGTACCAGAAGACTCTAGGCGATCCAAAACGATGGAAAAATGCCTTTCTATAACTCATACACAACAAAGGGATTACCCCTGTAGCTTCTCGACGCGGTGCGTTTCTCTCTATATGGACAGCGCTAGACTTCATACCGCAAACAAGGAGTAAAGAAGGAACAGAGATGGCTTCGCTTCACATTTTTATTTTGTGTATGGACAAATTGAATAGAGCCTGGCTCCAGTTAAGGTTTTAAGGTAGGGCATTGACCCTATGTGGCCCCCTCTGGCTAAGGCAATTTTGTCAAAAATAAAGATAGTTTACTACCTATATATATTCAAAATTTATAATGATTGTTTCATTTTGTATTCTAGCCCATACACAACTTTTTATAAATAATAGGCAATTTTTTATTTAAATTAATAATAATAAAAGTAATTTTAAAAAACCAACTTTAAAATCGTGCAGATGCCATCACCACATCTTGTCCAAATTTATAGGGGACCATCCCTTAGGTACCCGCTTACTAACAAAAAAGAATCATAGAAATCGAACAAGGTGGTAAATAATAACTGCTAAACATACATAAAAATGAAGAATTTGAGGATTTTCTAATGAACCCAATTTATAGATATTGACCAAATTTATGGTATGGTACCATTCCCCTTTCTAACAAAATAATTGAAATCATGAAATCGGACATCGTGTTAAAGAACTATCGCTGAACATACATAAAAAAAAAACAAAAAATATTACGACGAATTGAGAATCTCCTCCTTTTTTGTAGTCTGTTAAAAAAAATATTACGACGAATTGAGAACCTCCTCCTTTTTTGAAGTCGGTTAAAACAGTTTTTGCTCTAAAAATAATAAAAAGTAGGTGCTTTTTTATCCGCTTACAAAATTTAAATAAATTTTTAATAATTGATTTCAACATTTTTACAATCTGCATGTGAATGAATTCTTATTCTAATGTACCTATAGATAAATATATAATAGTTGAATAAAGGTCAGAACGAGATTAGATAACATCATTATTTATTTGATTTATTATTTGAAAGTAACATTATAATAGTATGTAATGTAGTATAGCCAGTGTAAAAGAACAAAATTAAGTGAGTATTTAATTTATTTTTAACAGACTTTAAAAAAGAAGGAGGTTCTCAATTCGTCGGAATATTTTTTTTATGTTCATCGATAATTCTTTACTACGTTGTTCGATTTCTATGATTATTTTTTGGTAGAAAGGAGATACCTCAGGGGTGGGCTCATATAAATTTAGTAAAGATCTAATAATGGGGTCAATGAGAAAAATATCAGACTCTTAATTTTTTATGTATTTACAGCGATAATTATTTAGCACTTTGTCAGATTCCTATGAATTTTTTTGTAAGACAAATGGTCAGGATTTGATGATCTATGAGAATATCTTAACTTGAGCTAACACTAACAAAATGTAAAGCATATTTTTATGCAAGTTAGACTAGAGAAGTGTAATCTTATCTTTCGACACTTTTCGTAGCGAGACACCTACCTTCGTTTGACAGACTGCGATTTTAATGTAATGTCTCTCTATATTCAATATGTAACGTGTCGAGTTTGCACGTAAGAATCCCTGTGCTAGGAGAAAAATGCATAGTATGGCTAAATCTACACCGAAAAAAGCAAACATTTTGTCGAAGCTAAATTTGTATTATTAACCTTTTCTTTACCGATTATCCGTGTTAGATTGAGAGCTCCAGGGCTTGCCGGTTCAGGAGGAAGAATTTTTTATTCATGGTGTGATTCATTGTAGAACAAAAAAGTTTTCCGCCTTTAGACCGGTAGGGCGATGAACCAATCCGACACAGCCGACTATTATAAATTCTGCAGTGACACCATTCCCAAGCTTTTTAATTTGCCATTGGGCCCACAAATACCAAAATTAGCATCGTATATTAATATAAGTACAAACTCTTAAACATAATCATTGATATGGAATATTTCAAAACAAGGATGAACACAAAGATCCACGTTGCACTTAATACACATGTTTATACTCGGCAATAAACTAAATACTGCACTCCCTCATTAGAGGAAGCACCTGGATAATTTAGAGAATAAATTGACATTTACGCAGAATTTAAAAAAGCATCATGGTTTGATTGAGAAAATCTAAGGAGAATTGCAGATATTTGTGGCTCGTTTGATTCAATTAGCTGCAAATGTAGATTCCTTATACCACTTAGCTCAAACAGTCAATACTAATTTATCAAAACTGACAAAAAAGCATCTAACTAGCACTCTCATAAAACAAAAGTACTTCAAAATATCCTCAAACGAAATAGATCTTCTAAAAAGCAACATTGAACAAATAGAAAACCGTGCTAACAAAAGAAATAAATAACCTTAAACACAAATCATTTGACACCGAACAGAAGAGAATTGACCTGGACGGGATTTTTAAATTGTAGACAGACACCCCTGCGAGGCCGGCGCTTCCTTAAACGAGATCAAAATACTCCAGAAAGGGATTTTAAAGATCTGGCCAACTAAACATCGAATTATACAATAAAATGTGCACTATAAATGGACAGACGCTGCCCTGAGTTATATAGGATCATGAAAAAGAACCACAAATGGCAATGAATAAAACAACACCATCAGCTATAGCAGATATATCAAAAATGGAATTATTGCCGATCAGATTAAAAAATTACACGATCTAGAACCATGAAAAAACACAACTGTACTATCAAGAAATGTATCATAAATTGGTTATCAAATTAAACAATTAAGAACAACATTTAGTGGCTCGTCTAAGTGCCACTGGGGCCATGCGAACTTCGCCAACTGCAGCAATAGAGGTAATATTAAACCTCACGCCACTGCACATTTTCTTACAAGGAGAAACCAGGTCCGTTATTTACAGGCTAATGCAGGAAAAAACCCAATAAGCCAACTACATAGCGCTGACCATGTAAGGCTTTATCAAGCACGTGAAAATGGATGATTCTAGGAATGCCGACTCAACCACATAAACATTTGAATAAAAATTTCAAATCCAAATACCAGTCAGAGAATCCTGGAAATAGGGGCCTCCTGTATAAGCTGAACTCGTCTAGTACACTAGGAGAATATGTAACACTGTTACAGGTTGAGATAATAGTTATACAATACTGTCCAAGAGAAAGATTAAATCATCAAGTATCAGGCAAAATTATTGCCATCTATTTTGATAGCCAAGTAGCTCTAAAGGCAATTCTTTCACCAGAAATTAAATCACGACTGGTGAGAGATTGCCTAGAAGACCTAATAGAGCTAAGTAGTCAAAACAAGATGTCTCTAGCCTGGGTGCCAGATCACGAAGGATATTAGTGGAATGAAAAGGCCAACGATTTAGTCCGAAAAGGTTCAGATAAGGCCATGACAGGCCTCAAAACCTACTGTAGAGTTGCTAAGGCATTGTGTGAGGCAAATAATGGATCCAAGAAAGTCTTAGGAATGGAGGAATAACTATCTAAAACTGAGACAGGCCAAACAGTTCAATAAGTATCCATCGGCCAAGTTCACGAAAGACCTACTGGATCAAAAACGTCAAATCGTTAGGATAACAATAGGTATTCTTACTGGATACTGTCGCTTAAGAAGGCACATAAGTGTCGTCAATCCAGCAGATAAAGCAACTTTGTGCAGGTTCTGCTAGTGCCTGGCTAGATTAAGGATTATAACATTAGGCGAAGAAAAGCCAAACGCATGTAACAGTCAAAGCAACTAAGTCTTATATAAAAGACCAAGCTAGACGACACACTCTAAAAAAACGGAGTCTTGCAGTAGATCTGAATAGGTCTCGGTAGATAAAGACACATAATGTCCAACTCCTTTTAAATCTTATTTTCCTTCAGTTCTAAAAAGTCTGGTATGAGCATATATTCCCTAAATTTTTCTTCTTTTAATTCATCACGTAAATTTTTTCAACATTCCATGTTTCTATCTTGTTGGATGGCCTTCTTCATGGAATGTTGAAAAAATTTACGTGCTGAATTAAGAGAAGTAAAATTCAGGGAATATATGCTCATAGCAGACTTTTTAGAACTGAAGGAAGAAAATATTTTCTTACAGAAACAAGTTTCTGCTATGATAAGTTCGAAAGTTAAAGTTGATAGTATAAAACATGAAATAGGGAGATTGCAATGGGAAATAGATAAAACTGCAGAAAAACATCTGAGAAAAGCATTAGAATCTGTACATGTCTCTGCAAGCCAGCCAATAAAGGTTATTTTTTGAAATTGGAAAAAAACTTGTTCACTCCTATTAAAATACTAATACACAAATTAAGTAATGACATATAAATACGGCGTTATTCTAAACATTTTTACATCTTTATGGAAACGCCGTACTAAGGCGTCGATGGGTTTAAAGGCACCAGGAAAATGCTGTATTAATGCGGAAAGGGGGCTGATGAATGCAAAAAATTAGAAATTTCCGTATATGTGCCAGTGGGATCTACAGATTATTGATTGTATATATACAGCAGTAGGAACAACGTCAATATAGATTCTGTCGAATATATCCAGCCTTGGTAAAGAAAGGGTTAAAGGCGAAGCAGGCATAACATAAAAAGAGTGCTATCCTAAAATTTGTCGATATTTTTATTTTATTAGTTTCCTGGATTATTTTATAGTGTTATAAAATTATTTGAGGCTAAACTAACTATACGAAAACGATGAGAAATGCACAATAATTAAAAATATTTTTATACGGTCAGGAAATTATCCTAGTTTAAAAATATTTTAACGTTATTTATTTTTCATTGGCTACAAGAATAACCCTAAATATATGCTTATTCAAAATGTTTTCGACTAACCCCTATAACTTTAAATTTTTTATATTTCGGGTGACGTCGCGGAAACGCTGATTTTTAATTGATGAGTTATCAGAGGTTGAAATTGGTAACATTAGCATTGGTAACATTTAGAATCAAGGTACATACTTCTAATTTAAATTATAATAGAATGCAATACAATTTAATAATATACCCCAAACAGACAAAGTTAATAGTTTAACCAAAATAAACATACGAAAACAATGTTATGTAATGTGGAATCGAAATACGTCTAGTTATATAAATTCCAGCAATCAAAATGTGAAAAACCTCAAAACATTATTAATTAGTATACTAGGTATTTCATAATTAAGTTCAAATTAAACAATATAGAAGTTTTCATAATTCAATTACATAGCTGTGGTCATTGTGAAGCTAAAACGGTAAAATGTTTAATAATAAATTACGGACATTGTTTAAAACTTCATATCCAATTAATGTTGCAGAATGGCTGAAGTAGCAATTGTTGGATGTGGTATAATAGGTATGACCACGGCGATGTGTTTGCAGGAGAGATATCCAACTTTAAGGTTAACAATTTTCGCTAAGGAAACGAGTCCTAATACTACAAGTGACGTAGCAGCTGGTTTCTGGGAACCCTTTATTGTTGGAAATACTTCCGAAGAAAAAATTAAATTGTGGTCTGGAACGACTTACAAACAACTTTTAAAATGGTGGAGAGAAGGTTAGATTTAAAATTATAACAATGGGTGGTACTAATAAAAATCAGTATTTACTTATAAGTATCAGCATCCGCATCAGGTAAATACTGAAATGTATATTAAAAAAAAGTGCTGATACTTATAAGTATCTACTAATTATTTTTAAATTCTTATTTAGTCGAAAAATATACAAAAAACGCACGTTAACACTTTTTCAAATCAGTTTACACTTAAAATGTATACAAACCTAAAAGAATGTACTTTTCTACATTTATTAATCGATCATCATGTCGTTCGTCTCGTCTGAAAATGAAGAAAGTGGCAATGAGAGTGTTTCAAAAACTTAAGAGTCAGATTTAACATTTGTGGCCAAATTTGTGCGGGATGACCCTATTATTTTAAATAAAGGGAACATTCCCGCAATAATAAAAAAACAAGACGTCTTAGCCACGCTTAACAACAATATGAAAGTAAGTTATCATTATTAGTGTGAGAGAGAGAGAGAGAATGTTTATTGTCCAAGTTAAAATACTTATTGACAAACACAATATTGTACAAATTACAAATAAATAAATAGTCATACAAACACAATATTGTACAAATAGTATACAAATTACAAATAAATAAATAGTCATTAAAATATAAACAAACATTATTATAAATTAACATTAATACATACATTTAAAATAAAATAAAACAAAATAAAACACATATCACAGTGACTCGTCATTATAAAATTCTATAATATTATAATAAGGCCTAGTTAACAAAAATCTCTTGAGCAGCTTTCTAAAACAATTCTGTGACTCAACATCTGTCAACGTATGTGATAGCTTATTGTACATTTTGATACCATTGTATATAAAATAGTCTCTTATTAGTTCAGTTTTGGGAATAGGCAACTTCAAGTTACCCGTTTGGCGAGTTACACGGGATGTATTCGATTTATATTTCGACTTGTTCTTATGGATCATGCAACAAGTTTCTAAGATAAATAAAGATGTTAATGTTAATATTTCTTGTTTTAAGAACAGCGGTCTGCATGAAACTAATCTGTGTGCTCCACATAAGAACCTTATTGCCCGTTTCTGCATTATAAAGACTCTGTCAAATAACTCGGCAGAACAGACTCCCCAAAACTGAACAGCATAACGTAGATGGGAGTCAACTAACGCATAATATGCAGTTTTTGCTGCACAAACTCCCAATTCATGAGAGGTGGTTCTAATGGCATAACAACCCGATGCGAGTTTTTTTAAAAGTGAATCCACATGAGATTTGAATTTCAAATCCATGTCGATATTTAAACCCAAAAATTTTGTACAGTTTGTGGCTTCTACAGTATCCATATCTATTAAAATATCAGAAACATTACATTTAAAGGTTAGTATTTTTGTTTTTTTAAAATTTAATGACAGAAAATTTGCAGTGCACCATGTTTTAAAGGATTTTAGGTCATTATTAATATTTGCATAAAGAATATTGACGTCTTTATTGTGCCACAAGATAGTAGTATCGTCAACAAATAGAGTGAAACTTCCTGAGATATTTAACTTACCTAAATCATTGATATAAATTAAGAACAGGGTGGGCCCAAGAACAGAACCTTGAGGGACACCCCATTTTATGTCACTTGTGTTCGAGTCTGAAACAGTTCGGACTAACTGTTTGCGACCTAAAAGGTAGGATTTCATCCAACTCAAGGCCACATCTCTTATGCCATAAATTTCAAGCTTTTGCAGCAGTACTCCATGGTTGACACAGTCAAAAGCTTTAGTCAGATCACAAAATACTGCAGCTACGGCCTCGTTGAAATTTATACTTGTATAAGCTAATTCCAAACAAGAAGAAACAGCGTCCGATACGTTTTTGTTGTGTTGAAAACCGAATTGATTTATGTCCAATATATTATTTTGGTCTAGATATCTAACTAGTCGAGTTTTTACAAGTTTCTCAATAATTTTTCCGAGTGTCGGAATTAGAGATATGGGCCTAAAATTAGATGGCTCAGTCAAGTCTCCTCCCTTATATAATGGAACCACAACACTTGTTTTAAGAAAAGGAGGAAAAGTACCTTCAATAAAACTTTTATTTATTAAAATGGATAAAACGTCTAATGCAGAGGTAGGTAAGTTTTGAAATATTTTTACTGACATTCCATCATGTCCTGATGCAGTTTTGTTGTGTATGTCATTACAAACTTTTAATATTTCTCAGGAATTTGTTTCTCTTAAGAAAAATGAATATTTAATTGGTGACGATTTTACAAATTCTAATGGGTCAGTTGTTCTATTTAGATTTTTTGTTAGATTTTCAGCGATATTGCAATAAAAAGTATTGAAATCGTTAGGATTTATATTTGCATTGCATGATTTATGGGTACTTTTGCCTCTCAATTCATTAATAATAGACCAAGTTTCCCTTGCCTTATTTTTTGAGCTCTCGATTCTTGTATGATAGTACATATCTTTAGCTTTTCTAATAAGTGTTCGATATAAAGATCTGTAGCGATAATAATAGTTTAAAAATAAATTATTTTGCGTAAATTTTTTTATATAGTTGAGAGATCTCATATTTTTTGATGAACATCTTAAACCAGCTGTAATCCACGGCTTTTTTGGCTTAATTTTTATTTTTTGAATAGGGAAAGACGCATTAAAAAATTTGCTTAAATTTAAATAAAAATCGTTAAAAGGAGATATACCAGTAAAGCAACTGTACCAATTAAAATTTTTACATACTAAATGAAATTTTCCATAATTAGATTTACTAAACAATCGACCATGACGAGAATTAGTCTTAGGAAGCTTATGCTCAAGAGATATCGAAGCTAAAACGGCTTCATGATCAGACAGACCGCTGGGATTCACTTTACACGATATATTAGCAGGTTCGTAAGACGTACAGAAATAGTCAAATAACGTTTCGGTACAATCCGTTATCCTTGTTGCTTCCTTAACATGCATACTTAAGTTAAAGGAAATTAATAAATTTTTTAATCTAATAGTAATATTATCATCATCCTTGAGATAATCTATATTTAAGTCACCTGTCAAAATTATTTTAGATGTTGTAGAAAATCTACTTAGCAAAGATTCCAAATTGTTTAAAAAAACTGAAACATTTGAATTTGGTGATCTATAGATACAAACAACATAAAATGTTGTATGTTAACTCTGAAAACGTTGTAGATAATTTTGGAAAACCTGCCGATCTCAAAAAAATTATTTTATTTTCTTTTGTGTGTCATCAGCTTCAACTGCTCAGGTTATTTAGCCTCGTGTTCTCTGTAGATTTTGTTACTGTTTCCCAGCGCTACTTTAGGAACAGCACTGTTAATTAGAACCCAACAGGGAATGGTCGAGTGGGGAATCCTACCAAGGCATCAGAATTAATTTTAAATAATTAAATTAAATAAAAAACTCCCGGCCAACGGTGGGATTTGAACCTGGGACCCTTGGGTCCGCAAAGACTCCACCACTGAGCCCACCCCCTTTAAAAAAATTATTAAAACAAATTAATAACCTAAAGAAGGTAGTAAAAAAAATGATGCCAACATAACTGGAAATAAAAAGAAAAGGCTAAGTGCAGCAGAACAATTCATGTTAACAGCACTACAGGGGATAAAGTGGAGTACAATCCTGTTCTGTACAAAATACGTGGTTCAATAATTAATTTTCATGATATATAAGCAAGTGTAATATATTGTTTCAGGACATGTTGCAGTTGGAATCCCTTCTCACAAATAAAAAAAAAACAATCCGATGAAGTGGCAGGTCCTTCAGTAGCTTTAGTGTCCCCTTTAACAGTACCACCACCGTGACCTGCACGTCCAAAGCGACAAAAAATTATGTATTAATACGAAACGGAAGAAACACGTATGTTAAGCACCACGAAACTAAAATGGGTGCTTTTGAAGCAACTGCATGTTCTAAATCTTAAAAAGGCAAAACTGGAGAAATAATTAAATAAAGATCAAGTTCTAAGAGGAGAGAAAAATTGTACTATGTTGTAATTAGATATACAGGGTGTTAGTAAATAAGTGCGACAAACTTCAGGGGGTGATTCAGCATAAAAAAATAATGACAGTTTGCTATATAAACGTATGTCTGAAAATGCTTCGTTTTCCGAATCCGGGGTGTTAAAGTTTTTCTTAAAAACGGACGATTTGTTTATTGCTCTGAAACCGGTCAAGATATGCAAATGAAATTTGGTGGATTTTAAGAAGTAGTTATTCCGCATTTTTTGACATACAATTAAGAATTTTATGTTCATCATTGGCGTGCATACGGGTAATGATCTCAATTCATTTAAAGAAAAAAATGGTACGCCACTGAGATATTTCAAATTAAAAATCATTTTTGAATTCCTCATTAAATTTGTTACAAAAAAATTTTTTGGCCTTTTTTTCGTGTGGGGCGCCGTTTTTATGCAAAAAAATAAAACATCTTAACGCGTATTTTTCATTTCTTTAATACATTATCAAGAACTATCTAATACAATAACATTAAACTAGAACAATAACAGAAAATAACACTAATAAAGTTTTAAATAGGCGCAAAGCTACAACAAATGCTGAAAATGACCTCCCTCAGACGTGAGACAAGATTCAACTCTTCGCCGCATTGATTGTCGTATTCGCGCAAATTGTCCTGGTGTATTTCTTATTGTCTCACAGCGGGCTATAATTCGGTTCCTCAGGTCTCTGATATTTTCGACGGGAGTGGAATAAACTAGTAACTTAAGAAAACCCCAAATGCAAAAATCCAGAGGATTTAAATCCGGCGATCGAGCAGGCCAATGTTCCGTACCTCCCCTACCTATCCAACGATTTGCATATACTGCATCTAAGTGATTTCGTACATCAATGCTGAAATGGGCTGGTGCACCATCATGCATGAACCATAAGTGTTGTCTCAGCTGTAGAGGAATTTTTTCAAGAAGAACAGGTAACTCTTCCTGTAGGAAATTAAGATAAGAGTCGCCTGTTAGTCGTTGTGAGAGGAAATATGGACCGATTAAA